GCCTCGTTCGCCGTCTCTGCAGAGCAAAGGGGAAAACCCAAAGGATGACAATGGCGGGGGAGGAGGGAAGGAACCGGGGCGTCTAGTGAAACACAGATTGGCTGGGAGTGAGGAGGGGGATGCAGCTGTGAACAATCCGAAGATCGTTGTGGGGCGTATTTACAGGCCCGGTGTACGTGAGACGTGGCGGGTAATTGCCCTGCTCTGGGGAGGCCTCCTTTGCTATTCCGTGGCCGGGTCTGGGCCTGGCGCCGTGGGGAGACCATGGACCGGTTGAGGAGAGTCCAGAGGGGAGCAACAAAAATGAGAAAATGTTTCGAAAACCTGACCTGGCTGGGACGGTTCCAACGCCTGGAGAGGTTTGGTCCTGGGGGGGACTTGACAACAGGCTTCAGCTCTGGCGAGGGCGAGGCTGTCGTCACAAGCCTGGTGCCCCGGGGCTCCCCCATCCCCTGGAATAGGGCTCACGCCGCAGCCGCAGGGCTGGGTTAGACGCAAGGAACATTTGCTGGCTCTCGGGGGAGGGAGCTCTGGAGCAGGCGTCCGGGCATTCCCCATGGGTGGAGGCTGGGGGAAGACGGTCAGGGCTGGGCTTTCGACTCTTGGAGGTCCTTGCTAGAACGACGTCTGATTGGAGCAGCCTAGGAGCATCTCTCAAGCCCTCACACAACCCGCCTCGGCAGCCTCGTTCGCCGTCTCCCCCTCAGAGACAGCCCGCCTCGGCAGCCTCGTTCGCCGTCTCCCCCTCAGAGACAGCCCGCCTCGGCAGCCTCGTTCGCCGTCTCCCCCTCAGAGACAGCCCGCCTCGGCAGCCTCGTTCGCCGTCTCCCCCTCAGAGACAGCCCGCCTCGGCAGCCTCGTTCGCCGTCTCCCCCTCAGAGACAGCCCGCCTCGGCAGCCTCGTTCGCCGTCTCCCCCTCAGAGACAGCCCGCCTCGGCAGCCTCGTTCGCCGTCTCCCCCTCAGAGACAGCCCGCCTCGGCAGCCTCGTTCGCCGTCTCCCCCTCAGAGACAGCCCGCCTCGGCAGCCTCGTTCGCCGTCTCCCCCTCAGAGACAGCCCGCCTCGGCAGCCTCGTTCGCCGTCTCCCCCTCAGAGACAGCCCGCCTCGGCAGCCTCGTTCGCCGTCTCCCCCTCAGAGACAGCCCGCCTCGGCAGCCTCGTTCGCCGTCTCCCCCTCAGAGACAGCCCGCCTCGGCAGCCTCGTTCGCCGTCTCCCCCTCAGAGACAGCCCGCCTCGGCAGCCTCGTTCGCCGTCTCCCCCTCAGAGACAGCCCGCCTCGGCAGCCTCGTTCGCCGTCTCCCCCTCAGAGACAGCCCGCCTCGGCAGCCTCGTTCGCCGTCTCCCCCTCAGAGACAGCCCGCCTCGGCAGCCTCGTTCGCCGTCTCCCCCTCAGAGACAGCCCGCCTCGGCAGCCTCGTTCGCCGTCTCCCCCTCAGAGACAGCCCGCCTCGGCAGCCTCGTTCGCCGTCTCCCCCTCAG